GCTGAGTGTACTGCGTTGCATCACCTTGGCCTAGAGGTGCCCGAACTGGAGGTTGGACTGGCGGTGCTGGTGGTGGGGGGCGAGGACCTGTCTGCATGTGGTTTGTTCCACCACCGTGATAGTTGTAAAACTGACCGGGAGGTTGAGGAGGAAACTGGTGAGCCATATGTGGAGGCCGAAGAGGATTGACGCGAGGCGCTGCTTCCTCTCGAGGTTGATGCTGCAAGGATTCCATCCGATTGGAGCTCAAATAGGCCTCCTGCTGGTACTGCGGGACTGACCATGATGGAAGGTACGAGGATCCCGGATGCGAAGAGGAGGAGGGTGCCGATGTCACCGGCCATGAATAGTTCCACTGAGAAGCCATCACGAGATGGGAGTTCGCCGTCAACACTTGCTATAATAGATTAAAAGCTAGGGATACGGCACAAATTGCCGAGACGGCACAAATTGTCAAACCGGCACCCGCTTTTCAATCGGACTCAGGGCTTTTTGAAACCGGGAAACAGCAGAAGTCACAACGAAACATCGAAAAGCGAAAGAACCCGCAGTAAGACCAACACGGAAGTCATGCTTGAATGAGGCTCTGGCGTGCACTTTTTGTCGCAAAATATCGTCGGTGGTCGAAGACGGCAGTGTGGCGAAGGATGCTCTTATTCGCAATGAAACATCATTAATTGTCATTGGTTACAGCAGCTCCTGGTGCAGGTTCACGAGCGGAGGACACCGGTGGGCGGCTTCGTATCGGTAGGCCATGCGAGTCCAACGATCTGGCTTGCCTCCGGGATCACCATCCAACACTTGCCCGACACATAGTGGATGACATCAGGACGTTCACTGGAATCCAGGGCCTCAATGCAAGCTTGCTCTCCTCCCGATCGAATCGGCTGACAGGTACCGACAGCGCGTCCAAACAACAGCAATTGGGCCATGTTGAAAGACATACTCCAGTTCTGGCTCATCGTGCGAGCAATTTCTTCAGCATCATAGTCGGCGTGTCCAGTGATCTTCCAGCCTTGGGCGTAAAAGGCTGGGCACTCCGAGGAGTGCTGCCGGGAAGGATGGATCTGTCGGCTCCGCAGGATGCCTCTAGTGCCGCCGACACTGGATGCGTGAGTCCAGAGCAGCATGGGTCGCGTCTTCGTTGGTTCTTTGAGCCGAACTGTAGCGCCAAGGTAGGGGACGGTCAGCATGAACCAGTGCGGGGTGATCTTATAAAAGTGATGTTCCGGATTGACCTTCGCATAGTTCAGAGTGGAGTGCTGAGGCGGTATGCCGGCTGCATTCAAGGTAGCGGCCACATAGTCCATCTGCTCCTGATTGACTGGGATCCCTTCGCGGAGGTACGGTGCGGCAAGCACCTGAAGTTCGTTCCTCCACGGGTCAGACTCCGGGTTGGGAAGCAGGATCAGCGGTGGGTGCGCCTGCGGATTTGGGCGTAGTTGCATGCTCCTCGAGGACGACCCCACATCTGGGTGAGCACCTGTGGCCTTTGAGGCTGGAGCTGATGGGGCACTGCTTCTGCTACGCGGAAGTGGAGATCGATTGCTTCTCGGTCGTCGGGATGAGGCTTTAGTTGCCGTAGGCGCCCGGGATGAGGACTTGGCTGCTGTGGGTGCCGACACGGCAAGATCCGGTGCTGCCGTGATGGAATTGTCCGATGTTGTGTCCCTTCGGGAGATCGGTGGTGGCGTCCTGGAGCGAGCTCGACCTCGCCGCTGTGGGGGCACTGACTTGGAGTAGGGGGAAGTGTTGTGGGAACGTGACCGCTCTCCCTCCGTTGTGTGGCGTGACCTGGCTGGTGGGTTGGGCGGTGGAAGCATCTGACCTGATGGAGTTGCCGTAGGGATCGGTGCGATAGGGGTCGGTGCTGTGGTCATAGGTGGGCATGCTGTAGTTGAGGCCGTTGGGGTAGTCGGCGTCATTGGAGTCATTGGAGTCATCGGTGTGGCCGGGCGTGCTTTCACCAGGATTTGTGGCAGAGGGCCAGCTACTGATGCAGGCCAGACATGCAGGGTAGGGATCGATGCCGAGGCGTCGCCGGGAGCAAGAGCTGGAACCGCAGGTTTGGTAGCCCTTGAGGTGCTGGACGCCGCGCAAGAGATGCTAGAAGTTGGTGTCACAAGCGCACTCCTGCTCGGTGATGCTGTCTGGTGCACTGGTGACCTGGGCGGCGTAGGGCCCGCAGTGTTCCTGGATGCCTTGGTCATGGGGCCTGCTGAGTTCGACATCGGGCCTGCGTTGGGCCGTGGCATCTGCTGCCAGCAAGTGCGAGCCAATAACCAACTGGCGGTGTCATGGAGTCATGCCTGAAATGTCGGGTAGTCTGGCGACCCGTCAAGTGGAGAAGTCAAACGTGAGGTAATCTGGGGTGCTGAAACGTCCGGGATATGTCCAAGCCCGTGGTGAATGGTCAACGGCGAAAAGTCAACAGGGGGAATTCCAGAGTCATGAGCGACAAGGTCCGGTGGCTGTCTGAAGAAGGTGTCGGTACATGGGTCAAAACAGGTGCCCGCACGGGGGATCAAGACACTGACCGAAGCCCGGACGCAGTGCCTAAACACACTTGATATGAGACGGCAACAATACAAGAGTGCATCCCCAAGTATCTGAAAAGTACCTGAAAAGTGGAGTTTCGTCAGCTAGCCTTCCCGATCTGTTCGCTCGCCGCGGCTACTCGTCAGTGCCCATGACTACCGCGACGATTTGCTGGCATGGGCGAGGGCACCCATGTGCGAGGGCACCCATGTGCTTGACACACTCAACACGCTCAATTGACAATTGTAGCTTGCTGTTTGCCGATACCACACTGGTTCGAACTTCCAAGATCCTTATTGCAAGTCAGTAAATCAAGTCTTCAGACATGTGATCTGATGGACCTTGTGCAAAGCACCTTGTTACTGCAAAAAGGCCCGTGTGGGTCGGCACAATGCGCAGGACGGTGGAGGACTGCGGGTTACCGGGAAGCAGTGGAAGCAATGGCTGTCAACCCACGCATGCCCATGGCAGGCGAGATTTAGCCAACGGTACTCACAGCTGGCTTCACGATATTGTTTTTATTGCCTCAACATATATGTGGCAGATGATCTACCTCATTGGTCAGGGAAGTCGCAGGCTTGATGAATTTCCAGTGTGTTTGCTTGCTGGCTTGAAGGCGCAAAGCTGTGTGAAACGCAGACTGACAGAATATTGCAGGACCCGCTTTCGCAAGACATTGACGACAGGTACAGGCGCGCACATGCCATGTACTAATATGTGTACAGTCATGTTGACATGTCAGCGGGTATAGTTTGCAGGCTCCGCTGATCGCGCCAGTGAGTTGCATGTCGCTGTTTGTTGGATTGGACAGGTTCTTCCCTGCCTCAGACAGGATCCCTCGACTCTTAAACGGGGAATGAATGTGGCAAACCAGTCGAAACGGGTCATTTTTGTTCGAGTGCTGTGACCTGGCGAGCATTCTACCAGCCGGAAGAATGACTCCACATGCGCCAAACCTGCGGGAATGAAACGGGCCCACACCGAAACTCTCCCGCCAACCGTGGCGAAGCCATAGGCGGCTGGAAAGCAACAGCCATTTGGAGTTCTGGTGGTATTGAGCTATGCAAACCCCGTCTAGTTCACCTCCTCTACCTGGCTCTCATTGGGCGTTTTAGCTTTGGCGCCTTGTGCTTGGATGTTAGGACTTTGGCCTTTTTGCCAACTAATGGGTTTTTCATTAAACCACTACTGTACAAGTTAAACTTGTAGCAGGGGAGCAGAAAGCAACCGAGTTAGGGCTTATGGCTTCTAGCCCCCTTGTCTCTCAGTCGGCCAGGCTGCGCAAGGCCACCCTGCGCTTCTTGCGGAGGCAAGTCCGTCTTGGCTGAGAATCCATGTCTCCATGTGAGTGTTTTTGGATGGTACGTTTTGGGTTCCACTGGGTCATTCATTTTCGGGATTGCTTCAGAGTGCAAAAAACACATAGGCAAGTGAGTAGTTGAACGAGGTAAGACACCTCCAAATCTCCTCAGTTTCAGGGCAGGCTGACGTATTTCGGACATTGGGGGAACAGTGGGAAAGCAAAGTCGCGTACAGAATCCACAGATGCTTCTCGAGGGAGATGACTCGCTGCCAGACAACAAAGGCAGATCACTTTTCTTCATTTTTACCAGCCAGGCTCTACCCTACCCTGTGTCCAAAGCGAAGTGAGGGTCCAACATTTATCCCTTTCTTTTAAGCCCCTTCTTCTAAGCAAACGGAAGCACGTTGTTTGGTCTTTGGTTCCATTCTTGCCCATTGGACACTTGCTAGTCAATGGTTTGACCGTTGGGTTTGTCATATGTGTCCCCAATTGGGGGAACCATTTTTTTCGAGTTGGCTTTCTATAAGCAGCTTTGCAAAGGGTACCAACTTCAAAAGTGACACTCGTTTTGCAGAGGCTTATAAAGGTACGTTGTTGTGGCCTGCAATTCCTTGGTGCCACCTTCATGTCGAGCTATGAGAAGCATGTGCGACATCGAAGATCAAAAGCTTTAGCCCTAAGGCGAAGTTTTTGGCCAAGCAACATGTTTGTGACATCCAGGCAGATGTGCCAACAGTTTGACTGCAACGACTTGGCTGTGGCACAGAGCAGCTTCTGCAACCAACACCGTTGTCGCTTCTGCACGGCGGGCATTTGGCAAAAGGGATGCTGCCGCACCCATTCCGATAAGATGTGCCAACAGTTTGATTGCAACGATTTGGCTGTGGCACAAAGCAGCTTCTGCAATCAACACCGTTGTCGCTTCTGCACGGCGGGCATTTGGCAGAAGGGATGCTGCCGCACCCATTCCGATAAGATGTGCCAACAGTTTGATTGCAACGATTTGGCTGTGGCACAAGGCAACTTCTGCAACCAACAGCGTTGTCGCTTCTGCACGGCGGGCATTTGGCAGAAGGGATGCTGCCGCACCCATTCCGATAAGATGTGCCAAGAGTTTGATTGCAACGACTTGGCTGTGGCACAAAGCAGCTTTTGCAACCAACACCGTTGTCGCTTCTGCACGGCGGGCATTTGGCAGAAGGGATGCTGCCGCACCCATTCCGATAAGATGTGCCAAGAGTTTGATTGCAGCGATTTGGCTGTGGCACAAAGCAGCTTCTGCAATCAACACCGTTGTCGCTTCTGCACGGCGGGCATTTGGCAGAAGGGATGCTGCCGCACCCATTCCGATAGGATGTGCCAGCAGCTTGATTGCAACGATTTGGCTGTGGCACAAAGCAACTTCTGTCACCAACACCGTTGTCGCTTCTGCACGGCGGGCATTTGGCAAAAGGGATGCTGCCGCACCCATTCCGATAAGATGTGCCAAGAGTTTGATTGCAACGACTTGGCTGTGGCACAAAGCAGCTTTTGCAACCAACACCGTTGTCGCTTCTGCACGGCGGGCATTTGGCAGAAGGGATGCTGCCGCACCCATTCCGATAGGATGTGCCAGCAGCTTGATTGCAACGATTTGGCTGTGGCACAAAGCAACTTCTGTCACCAACACCGTTGTCGCTTCTGCACGGCGGGCATTTGGCAAAAGGGATGCTGCCGCACCCATTCCGATAAGATGTGCCAAGAGTTTGATTGCAACGACTTGGCTGTGGCACAAAGCAGCTTCTGCAATCAACACCGTTGTCGCTTCTGCACGGCGGGCATTTGGCAGAAGGGATGCTGCCGCACCCATTCCGATAAGATGTGCCAACAGTTTGATTGCAACGATTTGGCTGTGGCACAAGGCAACTTCTGCAACCAACACCGTTGTCGCTTCTGCACGGCGGGCATTTGGCAGAAGGGATGCTGCCGCACCCATTCCGATAAGATGTGCCAAGAGTTTGATTGCAACGACTTGGCTGTGGCACAAAGCAGCTTTTGCAACCAACACCGTTGTCGCTTCTGCACGGCGGGCATTTGGCAGAAGGGATGCTGCCGCACCCATTCCGATAAGATGTGCCAAGAGTTTGATTGCAACGATCTAGCTGAGGGGGGCATCTTCTGTCGGACGCACAATAGTTGCTCTGGCTACAATCCTGATGGCCGCTTTCTTACGATGTATCATGGCACGTCACGCACTGCAGCCGCACAAATTGAGCTGCATGGTTTTTGTCCATCATCCGATGGGATGTTGGGTGCAGGGGTGTACTTGTCAAGAAATCTCAACAAAGCGAGAAACTATGGGCCTGTCATCTTGGAGTGCAAGGTGCTGGTTGGAAAGGTGGCGCGCATTGACCGGCAAGGTCACCCTCTCCAGAAGACCTGGCACGATGCTGGATTTGACACAGCTTGGGTGCCGCCAGGATGTGGCATGGTAGCATCTGGCTTAGAAGAGGATTGTGTGTATGAACCCGCAAGAATTCAGGTTCTCGGCCGTGTCATGGCCTGATGGTTTGATGGTTGACAACCGAGCGGACACGACAAACTTGGGATTTTGAGAGTTTGCCGCTTCGTCCCTTCATGATCCGCACCGATTTCATGCAAAAGGACATGTCGAGGCCAATGTGCTGACCAGGTGATGCTAGGGGTTGCTGCCAGCGTCTCACATTGGCCTTTCGGACTTTTGCAAGCAGTCAAGCGAGCTGAAAAAGCAGAGTGCGAGAGTGCCGCTTTCTACAGTCCACTTCAGGAAGAGCCTCAAGTGGGACAGCTCGTGAATTTCGGCTGGAATCCCTTGCAGTGTCAGCAGTCAGTCTCACTCCAGAAGCCCAGCTAGGCCCAGGCCTATGTTTTCAAGGGCCCACCTTTTCCGAGGGGTCAGTGTGACCAACTGCCCCAGCCCCGCCAGGTGTGAAGACCCGGTTGCACTCCAGCAGCTCCAGCGCACCTTCGACCCGCAGCCGCCCGGAAGCCCCAGAGTCGGAAGGGATGTCATTGGGGAGCCACCCACACAAACCCGCAGGATCCACCAAAATTTGTTGGTGCCCATTCGGTTTCATGTGCGAGAGTTTGTCACTGTTCACCAGCAGTGTGCAAGTGACTCTGCGAATTCTGTGGCCAGGAACATGATCCAATAAGTGCAGAGAAAGGGGTCGCAAAAATACCAGAAATCAGCCAGATTGGTTGAGGAAAGAAACTGTCGAGTACCACGACAACGATACTCTGTTTGTTTTTCTGTGGTGGCCTTTCTCCTTTTCAATTGAGTGGATTCCTGCCAAATCAAGGGCACAACAAACGGCCACTGGAGGGCGCCATGTGGATGTGCATGTTGTTTGAGGGGGCCCGTGTTGGGCAGTTTCATGCGAAGCCAAAACCCTCCACTTTGGAAGTTGGTCGATTTGGAGACGAACCCATGTGGTTGCTCGTCGGCATATCAGCGGTCGTCGGACTCGTCTCGACTTGGCAGGCGCCGGGTATGGGCAAAATGCAGCGCCGGGGCGCCAAAGGCTGAAAGACATCGGCCCCCAAATGGCAAAGACTACTTGGAAGGTCCGAGCCACAAACTCAATTCCCATGGAGGCATGGGCATCCTCTAAACGGGTTCTTCTGGGTCGACGCAGCGCACCCTTGTGAACTTCTTTGAACCTTTTTTGCCACATTTGCAGCCGGCACCATGTCCGATCCATGTCCCTTTTGCTGGAAGGTGTGTACCTGACAGGGGTCCAGAAATTATTGAAGAACTGCAATGCCATGCGAGATCCAACCAATCCCTGGTATTTGATACCAACAAGGTTCCCCCAAACCATGTAAGGACGCACCTGCTTCTGGTTGGAACGCCCCTCCTACTCTCCATAAATGTGTTCTATCTGGCTCACTTGGGCATCTGCCATACACAGTTCGGGCTTTGCAATTTGGGTATAGTTTGCTCGTTGCGAGGGTTCCCAAAATGTTGAAACAGTTGATCCGCAACAGTCCTGTTGGCATCATTTGAGCATACGATAACCATCTATTGGAGCCTGTGTCCAGGGATTTCAGCCCATTTGCGGCACATATGACTACTTTGCTGCAGACATACCAGGCCATTGAGGAACAGAGCGCAGACGTGTGATTGCTTCATCTCAGTAAGAGTCCCTTTGTTCGTATGCGGCAACGAAACTGCCGCCATGCAGGGAGCTAAATGAGACCCTTCGTTCTTCTCAGCACTGCTGCAGACCATACTTACAGTGCCTCAGACATACCAGTCCATTGAGGGTCAGAGCGCAGACGTGTGATTGCTTCATCTCGGTGACAGTTCCGTTCGTATGCGGCAATTAAGCTCCCGCCACGCCGGGAACATGCGACCCTTTTCCCTTTGCCCGTTATTCTCAGCACTGCAGTGCTCCTCAGGTGCAGAGGCCATATCCCAGACAGCACCTTGTTCGCCACGAGGCAAGGGGAAACTTGCTTGCTTGGCTGAAGGCAGAGCAGAGATGCATGCGGCACATCGTTCCTGTCTCTACACTGCGATTTGTGTGCATCTCTGCGCATGTGGACCGTCAAGGTGTGTCACTTGACAAGACATTGGCAGCGGGTCCCTTCGAAAGTTCTGAAATGTGGAAGCTTTGGTGGGCTCTGGCAACTAGAAGTTTGATCCCTGACTGTGGCACAAAAGAGGCTTTGTTATGGTTCAGCGGGCTGGACATGAGCGCATGCGACGTTTGGATGTTGTCACTCGTGCTGGTCATTGGCTTTCAGCCACCATGTCTTGTTACTCAGCACATGAACCTTGCACTGGCCGAAAGCGATACCATACCTTGGCACCGACGTGAGGATTGAATTGCACCGCGGGAGGCCGTGGCTTTGAAGGGCTACGACAGCATCGAGGGCTCGGTGGCTGCAAGAGGCCGAGCGCCACGGCGCTGGCCGGAGAGAAGGTACAAAGGGAGGGCTGTGCGGCTGTGTGTGTGTGTGTGTGTTTGTTTTTTGAGGGTACCCGGTTGATCTTGGTCAAAAGGGGCGCCAAAAGCGAAATCACGCATTTTATTGGGGGTGGTCCCTATTTTGACACATACTCATATGGATTCCGCCATAGAATCATAAGAAGGCAGGGCAGTTGCGCTAATATCTGGAGCGAGCTGGTCCGTGGGTCTCTCCGAAACCGGCGCCACAAGGCTGGCAATGCCTCACCGCGCCGGCTGGAAGCTGAGAGGCACAGAGCCGCTGCCGGGGTTCAAACTGCCACAGACCCAGAGGGCACCGGAGACGTGGCGCTACATGTGTCCACTTTGTGCAAGCATGCCGTGAATCAAACGATCCGCAAGTTGGGCAAGTCCCTTTTTTGGGAACACCCAAATAGCAGTGATTCTTGGGAGCTCGGCACAGCTGGCAAGTGCCCCGATCGCTGGCGGATTTGAATCTTTTAACAAGTGTGGCACTTTTCATTCAAGGAGTACTCAGGGGCCCACCGGGTCCACTCTTGAATACAGTTGTCCACTAAAACAAGTAAGCCAAGCAGAAGCGCCTGTGTGCCTCATTCGAACATGTTATTCCATATCATGGCAAGCTCACTTTGGGATACAACGAGCTCTATGAAGATCCCTGGATCCCATGACTCATGGCGGAATGTAGCGAAGCTGCCAGAGGGATCCATGCGATTGATCAAGCCAACGAACTGATGTTTTTTTCTGAAAGATGTGCTGTGGAGATTTCTCCTCTTCTTCCTCCCACAGACAAGTCGTTGGCGTTGGCCACAGCTCACTCGCTGAGGCGTCGGTCTCCGAGGCACCCTACCTTGCCGCCTTGGCGCGGCAGCAGGCGGGAGTGGGCTGGAAGCGCTCTTTAGCGCCTGCAACCAAAAGGAAATGGCTGTGGGTCCAAACCAATGGGATCCCATTTTGGGGTAGGTGCACCGCCCATTTTAGTCCATTTTAGTGGGGATTGGGATGTTCACTGGGGGTACGGGGTTTTGACCCATTGCCATATGTCGATCTTCAGTGACGCCTGTAGTTTTGCCTTGTTTTTGTCCTGGCCAGCGACCCAACAGACAGAACCAGGCTGGAGGGCGGAGCTGTAAGGTGCCATTGCCTCAAGCAAGGATTGAACAGTGGGACGTCGTGTTGATCCTGTCGCAGGCGAGTGTGACAAGTGTCCGAGCAACTCATGGAGTGAGATATCATATTGTTCCCTTTGGTCCTTTGGAGGAGAATGTCGAAAATTAGCTTTGACATGAGCAAGCGCAGACAACATGTCGGATGTTCAAATCACTACTGAATTGTTGGATCCAGCTGCACCCCAACTTGGCCAGGCAAATGACAAGATTTGATGCTGTGATTGCAGTGTTGTGAAGCCCGCTTTGTACACATCATGAGGTTAGTGTTCGCTGATTACGTGCTTGCAGTTGCATACTTCCCATGACATTTGTTGCTTGCTTAGTGTGTGTTGTCACATGGTAGGAAGCCTTTGGTGACTTGGCTATGTAGATTCTTTTGGTTTGCTTGCCCCAGCCAGCACCAAGATATGTTGGACTCTGAGCTATCCGTGTGTTAGTTGGATCCGACAGGGACAGGGCTGCAAACAATGCTGCACCTGATGCAGCAGGCCCAACTCACATTGGGTCGAAATAAAACCCTTGCGCCTTTCCGTTATGTTGGGCGTGTCCTTTATGCATCTTGTTTTGCAGGCCCAAGCCATTGTCAACCGATGCTGAGGGTTCTTGAGCTGCACCCTGTGTCGTTGAGAAGCTATACGAGGCATACATGCAGCCCGCAATTGTTGCTACACCCTAAGTTCCGGAGTGGGGAACTTACAGACAAAGAACAGACACTCAAACCGAAACGTCGATACCTAACCGATACTCATGCCTGCCAAATCCAACCAACTGCCCAGTAGCCCGGCGTGTCTGTGGTTTGCTATCTTCACACCAACTCCTCAAGGGGTCCCACTGCTTTTTCTCCTTGCCCCCGGGCTTCAATCCAAGGTACGCCCCTTGCGCAGGTCAAGAGCTCTCCGCCGAGTCCGCGAATTCGCGACGCGTCGCCGCGCAAAGCGCCGGGCGCTTCGCTGGGAGCGGCGAGCGGCCGCCAAAAACGATCTCTTTGAGCTGGGAATGCGACTCCAGAAGGTCTTTTTTGCTTTTCCCTTTGCGCACCAACCAAAGGTGGTCCCTGAGTTTCAAACATGCAGCCGTCCAAAAGAAACCAACCTACAGTTTAATTTGGAGAGCTGTGACTGAAGGCAGAAAAGCTTCCCATTCACGTCGCACTAGCATACCCCAGGATTGAATTTGGGGGAGGGAGAGGGTTTGGAGGCATGTCCACTGGCTGCCCACGTAATCAAGATGTGTGAGATGCAGATCAGGCCTTCAGGGATTCTTGGTGGCTCCCAGCCATTCGGTTCCTTAGCTTTTTAGCTTCTGAGCTTTTTGGTTGGTTTAGCGGTGACTTCTTTGAGTAAGGGCTGGATCATGGTGAGCAAACCATAGCGGCCTCTCTGGGGATCGGGACCTAAGCAAGGGTCAAAACACTTGTGAAAAAGGGTTTACTCATCGAGTTCCAATGTCAGCCGGGGGCAGAATGAATATCCTTGCTCACCTGCCTTCTTTTCATGATTACGACATCAGGGCCAAAATTGCAGCCCAGCAGGCAGGTTCTTCAGTGAATGAAGCTCGTGCCTCGCGTGTCCGATCAAAGCACCATCGTTTCACTCAGAAAGGTTTCGTCCCGGAGAGCAGCATGCAAAACGCGGCTTCCAAGGACAGATTGCCTGCTCCCGAGGGAGCAGTGCACTTAGCCCACACTTAGCCCAAGTTGGCCCCGACTCAACACCTTACCAATGTGCCCCTTGCCCAATCCTTAGCATTGGATTCAGCGGGCGACCCGCGCTGGTGCTCGCTTTCTCGATGCGTTTATGATTGTTTTGCGAAGGGAGCCTCAGACAATCCGTTTTTTCAGAATCCGAGGTAGCCTCCAAATGAGCGGATTCTAACAACAGATTAATTGTGTGCATGTTTGCTTTAAAGCCTATACAGCCTATACACAACTATCCTACCGCTGGACCACCCAAGCCTCTTCCACAGCCGTCGACCAGTGGAGCACGGAAGTGCCAATGGCGAGCCTGTCAGTGCCGGCGGCGGCCAATCGGATCCGTGTCTCTGTGGCGTCCGTTGGCCGGGGAACTTAGCTGGGGGGTTCCACCGAGATGGTGCCATTGGTGTTTGCCAGTGGTTGAATCGTTTTGTGTACAGCGTAGTTGAAGCCTTGCTTGGTTTGAGCGTTTTGTTTTTTCTTCCGACCCCCAACACCTTTTTTTTTTTTTATTCTTCATGCGGCCATTTGCATTTTTTTGTTTGCCCCTATGATTTTCCCCACGGCAAGCAGCGGGTTGCGAAAGTGCGGGGTGCGATACGACATGGGATCCTCAGTTGATGGGCTCCACTCTGGGACCTTGGAGGTCCTCGGGTCGCTTAGTAGGTACCTTTTTCGTTGGTTCCGAGCCCACAACGAGCAACCAAAAGAGGTTACCGCCCTTTGGACGGCGCGGAAGCAAACAGTGAAACAGTGCTGGTTGAGTTTGGTTTGGCTTGCGTCAAGGGGCTTAAGTTAGTTTGAGGTCAGTTCTACTGGTAGATGTTTGTTTTTGTCGTGAATGCATCCTTGTACCCAGATGTTAGGTAAGGTTGATACAGGAGCCATGCTTGAGAATACTTTGTCGATTTGAACCAAAGACAAGCACTGCTAACCGTGAACAAGGAAGATTGTCATTGTTTCTTTCAGATTTCCGTGCACATGCCAAACAGCGCAGCCTTGGCTGACATGAGTCATGAGCAACAAAGGTGAAGGAGCTTCGCTGCAATTCACTAGAACTTCACACACCGCCTCCCTCCAAAAAGGGACTGGGGCGGGCGACTCGTGTTTGTTTGTTTGTGTGATTGTTTGTTTGTTTGTTTGTTTGTTTGTTTGTTTTGTTTTGTTTTGTTTGTTTGATTGATTGATTGATTGATTGATTGATTGATTGATTGATTGATTGATTGATTGATTGATTGATTGTTTGATTGTTATATTATTATTATTTTAGTTTAATTGATTTTTTGTTTGTTTGTTTGTTGGTTGGTTTGCTTTAGCAAGATTGGGTGTCATGTTTTCGGACCAGTGAAGTTTACGGTAGCCATTGCACCTGAGCCCAAGTCAGCAGGTGGATACGGGCCCTTCCCGGCCAGAAATAAACCGAGGCTGCGTTGGGTTTTGGCAATTCCTTACATTGGTTGGGGGACGTTCAACTCAGTCGCTTGGGAGTGGTTATGGTACTTGTGACTCCGTGGGATTCAAACGATGTTATTCATGAGTCTGTACACAGAAGTTGCGTAGATCCATCAGAAAACACCCTTGTAAGGAAAAGTAGTTGGGAAAGAGTTGAAGTTCGGGGCCGCCATGTTCTGAGTTCATCATGTTTTTTGCGTGCGTTGTATGACATATACATGTAGAGAGACAGATATGTTTTCAATATATGAATATATATATATATATACAATTTGCAGATGCCGTACGCATCTGCTTTCGTATGCACGTTTTCTCCACGAGGGTTTGTATTAGCTTGTGACCCGTGAACCCTGCCCTACAAAAACAACATTTGTGGGCGATGCGGGCATCCTTTCGCACATATAGTTGATATGCCCATCTACAGAAATGTATATGTCATATACAGCCGGGGCCAAATTGGGTTTAGACCCCGCCCCCTCACCACTCGCCGGATAGGAGCAGCGCTAGATGGGGCGGTGGACGCTTTGACAGTGACCCCCGGGGAGGGGCCACAAGCGGCCCGAGTCCACCGGTCAGTCATCGGCCCGCCAATGAGCCGCTCGCCGGCAGCCAGGGGTTCGGGGGTTGGCGGGATGGGCGGACGAGTTCAAGTGGAGTGCTTAAAGAGATCGAGTTGCCGTTTAGAGGGAGGCCATTTGGAGGCATGCGCCAGTTGGAAGAAAGGAGTGCCCTGATAGAACCCCTATCATCCCAGTGGCAACAAAGTAGCACACACTTGTCCTTGTCAGGACGGCTTTGGCTATGTTCTCTTCCAGGATGGTCTGGCAAGCCTCTCACAGGCAAAGCCTACGGAAAGACAATGGATATGGTTTGAGTGTGAGCCAGCAGGGAAAATAGACCGAGTCAAGAAACAAGTGACCGTGTCAGGAAACATGAGTCAGGAAATGGACAGGGGCGAGTCAAGATACAACCAGAGGCAAGTCATACCTGCTTCCTGACTTTGTTTCCTGACTCGCCCCTTACCCAGCCAGCAGGTGTTGAATCTGAGAGTGATAGTTTTGTCAAGACCGCGGAGCCCTGCGCCAACACTGGAAGCACCAAGAGTTGTCCCAGCTGTTCAGTGTCTGCCTTTTCCACCTCCCTCCTCAAGTGGTTTGCAACTAGAATATTAAAAGTGTGACTTGTTTGGCCAAGGCCGAAAGGAACGCTCTTGCACACTCTCCAGCTTGCTTGTGCAAGATGGCCATCAACCACAGGACTAGACGGCCAGCAGTTGCCTTGGTGTTTCTAGCCATGGGTATCGTTTGTCATGCTCAGGGCCTTGTTCATCAAACAAGTGGTGCAAACTACTTTTCTTGAAACGCTTTGCAGGGGCAAACAATTGCTTCTCGCAGCCCTCATCCAGGCGGATGTTCTGTAGACTGTCAGCTTCGAAGTTCTTCATAGAGAAAGGGAGCTATGCACATCTTGTATCACCGCCGATGGCAGCGAAGAAGCTGGCCTCGCTGAATTTCAAGCTGACCTAATTTGCAAGTTGGCCATGAGCTTCGGAAGGGAACCACCTCTTCAAGGTGGTGGACATGAATCCCCCTCCCGAACTTTGACGTTGGATATTTTCTATTAAGTTATATTTTGAAGATTCACACCCATACTGTGGATGGACAAAATCCTGCACCACTTTGAAAGCCATGGGAAACCTTTGTTTGTTGGTATTTACAGGTGAATCATCATTCCAGGGTTTCCAAGGTGGTGCGAAATGGATTTCGTCCATCCACACTATGGGTGGGTGCGACTCTCGCATTGCATTGCTTGGCATTGCTTGGCATTTCTGGGCATCTCCTGGCGGTTTAAATTTGACCCATACCCATATTTTGAAGATTCACACCCATATGTCACCAATGTCAAAGCCGTTTTCTTCTCCAAGAGTCTTGGCTTTCTGAGGCGTAGACGCCTTCGCGGCTCGCCGGAGTAGTGCCGTCAGCGGCGCCACCGGCTTGGACAGCATGGCGTCCTCCAAGGCCAAGGGATGGGTCTGCTGGTCTGCCATGGTCTGCCTCTCTCTGCCGACGCCCTTAGACCCAAAACACGTTGGTTTATTTTCTTGGTTTTCATGTGGCTGTGGGTCAAAACCAATGCGATCCCATGTTGGGGTAGGCGCACTACCCATTTTAGTCTATTTTAGTTGGGATTGGGATGTTCACTGGATGTACGATTTGGATTTTGACCCATGGCCATTTACCTCAAGGGTGCCGAGCCTTGAAGAAGGACAGGCCCAGAGGGGTTTTAGGGGCCTGCCGCTTTCTGGGATACGGGAATTCGCTGAGGGATAATGCTAGGCATGGCCTAGCGGCTTGGTTGTTCAACCGAGACACCTCTCGGTGCGACCAGTATTGTAAGGGTGCGACCATTTTTACGCATCCTCGTCACAAGAGGTCCCAGTTTTCTTGTGCACCTCTCGGTACGCACGCTTGTTTCTGCATTACGATGTTCGGTGACAAGTAACTAGCACAAAAACACCTTTGTCCTTCCAGCTGCCATGGCATGTTTGGCTTGCAAGCTCCGTAGATAGCCGCTGCTGTGCCAGGACAAACAGAGTGAAGGAATCCTGTGGGGACAAACAGAGCTTCTGTGAGCATTATGCTTTACTTGCTGTTCTACCTGACACGCCCGCCAACCCGCCTGCCCAATTGCCGGCGCGCGCGCCCGCATGCCACGCGAGCCTGCGCGGCTCACAGGCACCCGCGCACGCACACATTCACGCGTCACACGGGGGCACACTCACATACACACATATACACATGCGCTTGCGCACTGAGTAGGTATGCATTGACCACTGCTGACTGTTGGTTGCTTTGGAAACTCAATATTCCTTGTTCCAAGCAGGTTTAGACAATGCGACAGAGGCAAGTCCGGCCAAGTTCCCACACGAAGATTTCAGAGTACAGCAGCGCGTGCGATTTCAGATGCCACGCTTGCAGTTCCCAAATGTGGGAGAACTTCAAACTAACACGAGGGGGCATGTGTGAACGGTTTGAAGTATCGTGTGCGTTGATGGCACGTTTCCGTAGGCGGACGGCTTCGACTGGCAGCTGCCCTCTGAGGCACAGGCAGGCGATTGGGTTTTCAGGCACTGAGTTGAACCACGCATGCTTCGAGCTGGTTGCAGAATTGCCCAAGTTGCTCGAGCTGGAAGCCCTGGTTTGTTTCAGATGTAGAGGAGCAGGCAGATTGGTAACTGGGTGAATATGAGATGCCCGAGCGACGAACAGGCGTCTCCCAAAGATTTCGGGATTGTACCTTTAGCATCATGGCGTTGGGTCAAAGGGCAGCTTGAACTGAACTTGTGCCACGCAACTTCAGTGTTCTGGGCTTGTTCTCAAGCTCTTTTGTGAGACAGTCAAAGTTCTCAGAGAAGGACACAAGGGTGGGAATGGCCGTCTATGCCTTCTACTCAGGGGCAAGGCTCTGGGGAAGTCGGGAGACAGAGAAAATCTGCCTTGTTTGTCGTCCCTTTCATCCTCCTTGCCCGCGCTGAACTATTGTGCCATGCCACTGCAGGAAGACATGGTTTGTTTCGACGCACTCATTTTAGATGAACATAATCCGTATGTTGATGGGTTCCTGTAAAAGTGAATTCATGGAAGGTTAGGAGAGTTGTCAACTGCTCAGCTTAGCAAGTCAAGTTTGCCTAATCTTCAATGACCCTTTGTCAACATCATCGTAGCTGATCCTCCTTGCCATGGCGTGCACGTGCCATAGCCCACACAAGTCCGTTTTCATTGGGCACAAAGCAGCATGGGCTCCCCTCAATCATAAAAATCAGCAGCCACCAGGCCTACGAGAGGCTGCCCTGGACAAGGAGCAGATGGTTCAACATCTCCGTGTCGTCGGCGATCTTTCTGAACACGGCGCCTGGGCAAAGTCGGATGTGGGGGAGGTATCCCGGCCCACATTTGCACCGTCAAAGAGAAACCGATCGTGGCGGTGCGTGAAAGATTGGTGTGCATTGGTTATTTTTGCAGGTTCGACGTGATGAATATGCATTTTTAACAGCCGAAAGGCCCGCATGATGATCGCATGCCATGGCATTTGACCTGCGAACTCAAGACAGAAGCCAGTCGTTCACGGCAAATGTGTGCGGGAGGAACTTGACCATATTTGACCCCTCAGCACCTAGCATTGAACTGCGGTTCGCTCGAAGGTGAGATAAGAAAAGATCAGAGCAGCTTCCTCGAGTTTTCCCACGTTTTTGCTCCTTCCCCAGCAGCTTGTGGTCAGGGAGAAAGTCTAAAGGCATTGTGTGCTGTGCCGCAGGGGTTCCAAGGATTTTCGCCATCAGAGATTGTGTGCCAGTTTCTCGTCGCATCAGTCGCTTGAGCGACGCTTTGCCTCGCATTCTGAGATCTGGCTCGGTGTGGAGACAGCTGCTCGGCTGCATGATGGCGGGGGGGGGTGTTGGGTTGGTGAAGTGGACGGCCAGTGCAAAAGCTGGATGCCTTGGGCGGCCTTTCTGAAAGAAATCCAGTCTAGTTCTGGGGAAGCAAACTGAAACATGTTGCGGTGGCAGAAAGCATTGCCAGTTGCCAACACCTGCTGTTGATTCAGTTGATGCATCAAGTCCTGCGTCCCTCGCACGAAGTTGCTATGTGCAGTAGTCTTGATCCCAGGGTACACGTCAGCGGCCAGTCAGCCGAAATGATGTCTGACCTCAACTGCTGCAATGTTTCCTCAGGGTTTTGGGATGCTTTGGGCTTCCCATTTCATGTCAGCGTCAGCTCCACGGCGACAAGGGCCAGAGATGCTGTCAAGTGGCTTGTACTTTCTACTGCTTATCCCGATAGCTTGTTCAAATCTGTCTAGACTCAGGTTTCGTCTAGGTAAGGGATAAGAAATCAGGGTCTCAGGGTTCCCTGTAAACCAACTTAGTAGAATCATGCCTTCTTGAACAATTCTCGAGCGCAACTCCTACGGGCTCCGCTATTCCGTGGTTTGCAATGCATATGTGTTGCCAACCTCAGTTGTTCAAGGGAAGAGACTATCATTCTCGCCATGCGGGTATCAGAACATTTATTTCAAGTCCGCGTTTTGATTCAATCATTACAACCATGTGGGTGTGCGGAATATAATGCCATTGCATCACAGGTTGGGATACGTTGAAGCAATCGCTGCCTGGCTAGAAAGGACCAGAGCTGCCTCGCCGCATGGCAATGGATGCAGATTGCAAGTGGCAGGCCAAAAGATGTGCAAAGCAAGTAGTGTTACGCTGGATTCAAAGTGAGAGGCATTCTCGCATTGACAGCACCACCAGCTCGTCTGCGCTCGCCAACATCCATGTCTCACATCCCGTAGATCCTGTCAAAGCCTGGATTCAAGTCCTGAGTCTCACCGGTACAATCGCGGTGAATCCCTGGAATGGGCCCCTTCCTGGCCTTCCAATGGAATGGCCGGCAGATGGCAGCCCTGTCCAAGGGACATGTCGCAAACTGAAACACCCCTTACCAAGCTGCAGGGTGGTTCAAGAAAATCGCAAGCTGTTGCTAACATGTAGCATGTTGGCAACCGAAGAACGGTCATGCATACGTCATGGGGCTGTAGTCTGCGGAAGATTGGTGGCATTTTGACTTTGAGCTATTTGCGCTGCAAGGATTGGTACCAGCCTGCAGACTATGAGGGTCAGACCGATCCTTGGAAGATCGCCCGCTCCTCAGTTTCTGCACCAGGCTTGTCAGAAAAGGACATTCCAGATGAGTGGCCTGCAGTCACGGTTGCCGAAAGAGTTGCAGGCAGGTGCCACCGTCGCAGCGAACCGCCAATGGTGAGCACTGCTCCGAGGTGAACTACTGCTTCGTAGGTTTCTTCTGCATAGAGCTCCTGATCCGTATCTACTCAAGGACGTGGTGGCCATTTATCGTAGACAACTGGAACAAGTTCGCCTCTTGACTCCGTGGGGAAGGGTGGGTGTGCTGTTGATTGAGCACCTCTGAGAAGCCAAAACCGGCTACACCCAGCACGAATTAGACAAATGACTGCTGAGTACTCCCTAGCCTGCTGAACCCTCCCTTCATGAGTGTGCAAGCCGCATGGCAACTTGGTCCTGAAAAGCGATGATTTGGCACATGCCCTTCCTTCGAGTTGGACAATGAGGACTCTGGGCAAATTACAACCCCCAATTTCCACGTTGTGTTATTTTAAGTTTCCCCAGATCACTGGTCTTGTTTTGACCAGGCTCTCTGCGGAATGGTTCACGTTTGCCCAGTTCGGCCGGCTCAATCCCAGATGGACTAGTTGAGGGCCAGTCCGTTCCTAGCTGTCTCAAAAGATGGTCGCCCAGCCTCCAGAGCTCAGAAGGACCCCTGACCGCCTTGCAGATCCCATCGCTTTGGCGCATCGGGGAGCCGCGGATTCCGAGGTTTCGCCTGGTGTTGAACTCAAAACACAAGCTAGGCCTTGCTCCAAACTACTGAGAATCGCTCTAGCCAGACGATGAACTTAGTGGTTTGCATGAAAGCTCGTCCACATTGTCTAAGTGTTTGAGGTAGCAATTCAGCCAACAGCAGGTGATGGCCCAAAGCAAAAGGCCTTCTCCACGTTTCCTCCAGGGCGTTTATGCAGATGTGAGCTCGAGGGCTTCATGTTGTCCGTCCAGTCTGAGCTTCCTCCTGAGCCTAAGACCTGCTCGCATGCTTGGCAGGCAAACTACATTCAAACCTTCACAATAAGAAATGCCAGCCGATTCGAGCATACTGCTGAAGATCAACGTCGAAGGATTTGCCACAAGCCGAGGACACTGTTCTGGTGCTGCTGTCTGTGTTCGACACCTTTATTCTGGATCAGATTGGTGGGAGCACAGGCTTGGGCACACGGAACACTGACGGCCGGAGGGCCCCACAGCTTGCTTTGGGGTTGGAGAAGGGCTGGTTTCGCGTTGAGGATGGGTTTCAGTTGGTGTCGGGTTGGTTTATTAAATATATAGGGCTGGGGTGAGTTTGGGTGGGTTGGGCTGGCTCCAGGGGCCGGATTCGGCTGGGTTGCGTTAGTTCGGAAGTTCCAAGGGGATGACGGAAGATTTATTCATAAGATAGTGCTTTGGTCTGAGAACTGCATATGTCCAGTTGGTGAACTACACCTTTCCTGTACGCAGGCATCAATTTGAGCAGGTCAGGATACCACGTAGCGTCCTGCCGAAAGGCGTTGCCCATCTTGGATTGTGGCTCACAGGGAAAACACGTGCTGGGTATTGCATGAAGTTGTTCCTCTCAGGCGCTGCTGCCCTAAAAAAGCTGATGAGATCGCGACGTGTTGGGCAAGGATCTTTTTGACATTGCAAGATCACTCCGGAGCAAGAGGTGGGTATGAAACTAAAATGCAAGAAAGACAGGTGAACGCTTCTCCCATGGAGGATCCCTCATTTTAGGTTCCTGACGATGTGTTTCGCAGATCTGGTTGCCCCCGGGTTGCTCCCTGCTCTTTGGTTTGGGCACGTCTCCCGATGGATTTGCTTTGTTCGGCCAACGTCGAACGCAGCCACCAAAGTCAAGCAACTTTCAGACTCAAAAAGATTTGCGCATGGTGCCATCTCATCAAAACGCTTGTTGTTGCATTTGTATGGCTCCATGTGCTCCGTGACCACGTGGTTATTGTTGTTTTGTGTCCCCCAAACGGCCGCCTTTCATTATATATGGAGCACGCAGGCAGCTTTAGCTCGCTGCGAGTGCTGCGGGTACTGCGCGTGGCCCGCGTGCTGCGGCTGCTGCGGTTCTTCAAACCTTTGTGGCTGCTGGTGATAGGCTTGCGTGTGTTGAGAAGGAAGGGACAAGGAGGGAAAAGTCTGAGGTGTCCAACAAACGTTCACCTCACGCAAACATGGTGAATTCGAAAATAATGCTCAGGGTTGCTCAGTTTTGTGCGAAATCGTAGCGGATTGTCCGAGGCACGTATTTGACGGACTTCACCTTCCAGCTGACTCAGTTTCAACCATGCTAGGTAATTATAATATAACCAAGATGTAGGCTGTTGCGAGGAAGTTTCATCCCCAAAACCACTGTCAAGGGACAGTCAGCTGAGGGGATGCCTGTATGTGCACCGCTGTGAAAACAGTTGCAGCCGCGCATTTTCAAAGGGTCGACGATGGATACTTCACGGGGCCCTGACATTGGCCTAAGCTTGAACCAGGACTTTGCTGGTCAATTTGTGAGGCAAACTGCCGCATCTTCGATCATTGCATGCGTGCATGATGGTGCTAGAAAGCTGTTGGCCAAATTTATGAAGGGGTTGAATCACCAGAGAGGTTGAAGTGTTTCCTTTTGCCTAAAAGAGAATGCTCCTGCCTAAAACGCGTGCTTCGGCAAGGCGCCTTCGATGCCATGCGGGCGCTCCTTTGGGCTTGGGCCCTCCGGCTGCAAAACGTTCCGTTTGTTGCCTGCTTCGGTCAAAAGAGTCAACTTCTTGTTATGTTCCACTGTTGAATGAAATTGGAATGTCCCTTTTGTTGAAAAGAAACAGGAAGTAAGCCAGGAGCACTCCGTTCTCACTGCCATGTTGGGAACAACGCCTCTTTGCTGAAGCTGTTCCGATCAATTAATTGCTGTTGGCTTGATCTCTGCGGTTCGCTGATTTTCAGCCTGCCCCTGGAAAATCTGGTGTGAACCTGGCGGAGAACAAAAACCAAAAGCTCGAAGCTAGCAGCACCCCCCAGCCAGAACGTGCAATTGGGTGCAGTTGAGGTGCTCATATCGATCTTGATCTACATCTTTGCCATTCTTTTGACTCGCACAGTGGGCTTCGCCCACAAGGAGACTCCTGAGATCGAGCAGTACTTTGGCAACCTCCTCCTTAGAATCTCGGCCGGAATGTCCAGATCTCTTTTTGGCCCGAGGCGAGCGTTGGCGGGGGGAACTAGAATTCATGATTAATATCTGAAAACTAGGCAAGGACAAGGCATAGATAGATACTGGCTGGCTGAACCCATGCGTTGGATTCTAAGCTCAAATAACCATATGTTAGCTTTTGCGAACGGTGCGAGTACAGCGGAATTGGAGGAGATGCCGCCAATGGCTTACTTATACGGTGGTTAAGAAGGTGGATGATCGACAGCAAGAGTTAGGCCCTTGAAACCGGATGTTGCATGTTGCAGGACAAGCCGGATGGGGAACCTCATTGGCAGGTGGGCGTCACCTTCATAAGGCATTTGCCATTCTTGGGCCAGGTCGAGCCTTCACGAAAGCTTTGTGGGTGGGCTGCGAAACTTGACATTGTATTTGGCCAACCTCTTCCTATTCGCCTGATGCCGGCGCAGCCAGGATGTCTGAGAAGTTGTGACTTCTATCTTGTGTTTAATCATCGAAGTGGACAGGGAGGTTTCACCCGGAAGGAAAGTCTTTCCAGACCTCCTTGTCAGCTTCGGTTGAGTTCTTTGGTAGGGTCTTGCGATTCCCAGTATGGATTCGCTGGCTTGTAGAAGCATGTCACTGTCAAAGGCCCCCTTTTGCCAGCGGCAAACTTCTGGCACGTGCCAATGTCAAGGGCTATTTTGCCTCAAGGCCTTTCTTTTGGGCCCCATGCTTGCGCATAACATAAGGAGCTAAGCAGCTCCTGCCAGTTGCTCTGATAATCATGACTGCATTTGCTTTTAGGAGCCCCACAACCCCACAACCCAATTCCAGTTATTTCGGCCCCAGTAGCAATTGAGGAATATTCTAGTGAGGGTTCCAATCATGCTGCGCAAGGACAAAGTCCATTTCGCACCACTTGGGATGGATGAAGCCCTGCATGCCGGAAACACCAGCGATTTCAACTGGAAAAGTTCACCACCTTGGTATTTCCTGAGTAAATTTGCGCCTAACTTGCATTCAACCAGCTGGTTTCGCGAAGGCATACACTCCCCTCAGAACATGGAACCGGAGGGCGGGTCCTGTAAATGGAACCAAGTCAGTCCAAAAAAGTCCTGGGAGCTTCCATGTTACCCGTTCACCTAGAGGCCCCCGCTTCGGAGCCCGACTCTTCGGCTTGGGTTCGGAGAATCCGAGCCGAGCCCGTGGACCTAGGTGAGGCCACGCAGAGTCCGAAAAAGATTGTTTCGGATTCGGAAGATGCGATTGGCCGAGGTTCCTTCACCTTGTTCCAGGTGATGACCCTGGAGGGCTGGGGCTCCGTGGCGCGCCTGGCCATGTCGGTGGAGCCCTGGGTCTGGCGCCGCGGCAGAAGAGACAAAAGCGGTCGGCAGGGGGAGGGGAGGTGTGGGGTGGGGAGGGGGGGGTGGGGGGGGTTCTTGTGTTTTGGTTGGGGGGGTTGGTTGGGTGAAACTTTTGGTGTGTTTGATGTTTTCCTTGTTGTTCATGAATGTGGTTTTGTATGTGTTCCTCAGCATATCAAGTGAAATACATTGGTTGCCCAACACCTGAACATGTGGTTTGGTTGCTTTCCCTTGTTTGCCACCGTTTCCTTCCGGAATTTCAAGTGGTTGCCCTCGCGTTTACAGGTTTTCCTTCGCCATGATTTGGAGAAATCCGGGCCAGGGCGGGGGGGGGGGGGGGGGGTTGCTACTTTCTGTGATACGAAGGGAATGCCCCTTCAAAGTGATGCAGTAGTCATGGGGATGGTCCACTTCAGTACAGCAGCGACCACTATTTTCCGCAAACACAACCCTTCACCAGTATTGCTTGTGTTGCAGCTCCTACAGTTTGATGTGTCAATGGTCTTGCTCCTGTCTCGGGCTGGTGGCACCTGATATGCTGCCTCCTTTGCTCACCGCTTCTAGCTACCGAAACGCAGGCCTCATTGGGAGATAACTATTCTTGTCTTGAACATCGAACATTGCCAACTGACTGGCAACTCGGCAGGTCAGGTTGTCAAGTCGATTCTACTGCAAGCAACCATTCCTGAAGTGGGTCGAGAGCCAATCAGCCTAAGACCTTTGTATTTCTCAGTGTGGTTCAGGTATGGTGCTGGTATGTGCTGGTCTTGCAACGTTCCGGTCTTTGAGACAGGTGAATGAACTACAAAGGCCTTTGTGCAGCTTTTGAAGTACCAACAAAGCTGCGGCAAATGTCCGAAAGTGTCAGAGATAGGTTCCCCTGTAGCAGACTATGGCAGAACTCACCTGGACGCTTTTGTTGCTATTTTCTTGCATCATTTGGCAAGTAGTTACAGCATCTCCACACAACTTAGCCAGGGCTTGCGAAAGGCAAGGATGGTCGACTGAGGATCATATTTGTTAGCTTCCTGCTCATCACCACCTTCTCCATCATGAACATGATTGTCTCGGCCGCAGCCTCAGAATTTTGGAGTAAGTCCCAAGCTCGAGGGGCATACTTAAGCGGCACCAGCTGATAGGCCACCGAGGGGTACAGCGAAGCTGTCAACGGCTGCGAGGTTAGAGTCACAACAGGACCCTTGTGCTTTCTCCAATCAGAAGAGTTGGTGGTCATTTACAGGCTCTACATTGGAACGTGTGCACATATGATCAGATAGATGAGATATGTCAATGTTTGGACTTTCGCTTGGTTGAAAGGGACACCAGAGAAAAGCAACAAACTTCCGCATCTTGACACTCAAACCCCAAGCCAAAGGAAAAAGGCCGCATTCCCAAGCCAGCGGTTCGACCCGGACGCCTTCAGGTTATCGTGGACAGCACGCTGGAGGCAGCCTTGGATCAGAAGCTCCAGGCCATGCGTGATAAGGACACCGATACGCGCGAAGCGTACTCACCAGGCCGAAGGTTGGAACGGGTCTACTTGCTCAACGTTAAAGGGAAGCCGGAAGTTGATGGGTATGTTTGTTACTTTCGGCTTCCCCTTTCACTAGCTTTTATAGATCCAGGTGGTTTCTATTTAACTGTTGGATTAACTTGGAGAAATTATGGATTTGTGAAGTGTACAGCCTCGCAAAAGGCGCCAAAAGGCGTGGAAGTTTGGTTCAGAGCGAACGTAGCCGAGGAGTACCAGACCACCATGGCGGCGGTCAAGGTGGACGAGGCCCCCTGCATGCAGCATGTCACTGAGCTCCCACGTGAAATCGGCGTAGATTTCTACGTGGGGTTGTTTGCAGATGTAAGAACCGGCGGAATGAATGGCTTCCTGTAAGAATCGTCCTTTAAAATGGGTTCTCAACCTGGACGGAACAGGAGTCCCTAGTGTTGATGCACCAGCTATGGCGAGCTCACCCAGGGGTAACATGAGCTCCCCTCGAGCGAGCGATTGAGAGTCCTCGCCAGACCAGGTTGGCCGGGTGCAAAGTTTTTGGCCTCGGTTTGGCCAGAACGCTTGATTGATACTTCACTCAGTTTAAGGCATATTTACCATGTTCGGTGGCTAGTTATTCTGTTCCACAGTTGATGGCCCATTTTGCAGTGGTCCATGAGCGCAGCTGCGTTTTTGCTTGGGCAAGGTCTTCCGGCGGGCGGACGGCAATGGCGATGGGCACATCACCAAGGAGAGGTGATGCAGAAGTGCTTGCGGTGCATTGCTGTTGCATATTGACAACCTTTAACACTAACATCATTTCACATTTTTTCAGAAAGGTTCCTTCTTTGGAGAGCCATGACTTGTGATTCGAGAAGGTGGCTTCAATCAAGTACCACTGAGTACAATTAATTGCTAGTCTGCATGTATCACATGTTTCGTGGGACTTGGCGCGTAAATTTGTCCGAGTGTAGGGTAGCATGCACTTGTGAATTTGTGAGCGACAGCTTGTTGACAGGTAAGCTGCTTTCACGGTGCCAGGCGGTAGGGGATTTCACGTTATGTTCCCTCAAACCCTCGGATAGTGGCATGCCCCAATCTCAACATTGGGTTGATACCGCAGAGGTCCCATTCTTCAAGGCAACCGCTAGGCACAAGCCAATCCTGGACCTTGCCGTTGATTCCAGGAGGAATTGATGGAAGCTCTTCTCAAGCCAGATGTGCGGCTCTATCTGCGAGAAGTTGGCATTGACATCACCAATGCCGAGTTTATCTTCGATGCGCCCCGCCCAGATTCTGCAGACTCCAGGTCGGTAGCAGATTGATGTTGTTCGCGACCGAACACTGATGATAATCCGTGTTGTTTGTTTCCTTTGGGTGGGAGGGTAGGTCGACATTTTTGTGGGTTCCTTGTGTTCGGCTTGAAAGGAGGCTGAGAATATGTTGAGTGGTCAGAAGTTTCAATGCCAGCTCTGCCATTATTTGATAAGTTGGAAATTGGAGTCGTCCATGACGCATGGCACATTTGCTCAGTAAGCAGCACCGGTGTCCCTTCTAGCTTGGTCAGTTCCCCGCTAAACATGGATTCCATTCGGGTCACTGGTGGGAACTGGAAGGCGGAAGTCGACAGCGACAGGATGCGTCAAATCCAGGCCCCGCTTTCTGATGAGTTCCTAACGTGAAATCAGTCCGAGAGCTTCTTGGCTGGACTCATTGCTTCAGCGTCTTGGCCATGGAATGCCAGGGTTGCCATAAAGCCAATAGGCAGGTCCCGTCTCAAAGTTCAAGTCCCCTCCGAATGGCTTGCAAGCTCTCCTGTTTCAGCAGGCCTTGGATTTGAGGAACCCAAATCCAAAGCACCGCCCGGATCTCTTGGGGCGCTGCCTGGCGCCCCAATTCGTCCATTGCCAACATGGCCGTTTTCGTCAACGGTGACCTGCCCTGGTGACCTACAAATCATGAAAGAGGAGCATCCAACGTGTCCTTTTGTCGTTGGGGCTCCGAACCAGCGCCAAATTGAAGGCAGTGTTCGGCTCCTTCTGTGGCAGCTCGACTCTCAATGACTCTTGCCTGAGGTCATCGACCACGATGGCTCCGGGGAGCTTGAGTACAAGGAGCCGATCGAGAGCTCGGGCTTCGGCGGGACTTCAGAACCACAATGCAACAAAGGGATGCGTATGGCGTGACAAGGCGAGGCAAGAATTCGGAAAGCTGAATGCTTGAGACACGTAAGAGGAAGCTCACGCAATGGTTCAGTGGGAGCTATGCCACCATCGCCTGTGGTGCAAACACTGATTGAACGTTGCTGTGTACTGCGACAGGCGTTGCTTCCAACCAGAGTGCGTCATTTGGGGCGCTCGCGTGGCACCAATATATGGATGTATGTAGACAAATTATAGATGTATTATGCATTATAATGCATTATATAATAAATATACGCTGTTGTTTGATCCAAATCAGCTGAGGTGTTGCTGGGTCCTTCGCCGGGGCGTCACCGGGACGCGTTGAACTTGAGCATGCTATAATTTGTGTTGGGAAATCGTGCCTTTCCGAACTACTTGCACCCTGCCGATTCCCCTCGTGATGTAGAAGCAATGATGAGCTCGGGGCATCCCGTGCGAAAACACTGGTTGATCTACGGGAGAAGCCCAGTCGGAAATCTTGGTTGTCACAGGGACTCCGCTTTTTAGGCCCGCGCCTTTTTGTCAATTTCTCATGCAGACATAAACTTGAAAGGTTCAAGTTGAAAGGCTTTCGAACCACAAAGCTGGAGAGAAATGTTCGGATGAATCTGGAGCGCCATCCATATCAGAGAAATCCCCGCAAAAATCGATTCTCGACAGGATGAGTATGGTCCCGCATTACTGGCCATGACCCTGTTTAGTGGCATCCATGTGTAAAGCCTCTTGCGTTCTCGAGTTCCCTGCTAAAATTGGAATCTGCTATAAACACAGTATTCCATGTGTTGCACGAGGTCACGAGTTGCAACCATTTCAAGCTTTGTTCTCCAATCACGCACCACCCAACCGCCTCCTCTTACAGCGCTTGGAATTGACCGGGGAAAAGCGGAAGAAGCTGTCATCGGGTGTGTGCAATTGATGCCATGGTATGACCGTAGTATGGTTCTGTCGTGTAATCGTGCTCAACGAACCATGTTTTGCCAAAGTTTGCCAAATTGGTTTCAATTGTTGACTCAATTGTCTCCAAATGGGTGTTTGGACGTGAGGTGCTGGCAATTCATGCCATTACGACTCACTTCCTGAGCTGCTGGACTTCAAACTTTTGCGAAGACCGGTCAAAAAGTCACACAAACAATATTTGGACTTCTTCTTGGGCCAAGCCACTCGGACAACAGAAACATACGTTTCCCCTGCACTTTCCCGCTCGGCAAAAAACGGTTTTTCCTCCGTCAGGAGTTCGCCATGGGCCTGGTGAAGGCGCGCGGGGAGGCGAAGGCCCAGGACGTCCTCGCGCTGCAGCCGGGGCCCTGCAGATCATCCCACTTCGCTCGCGCGCGTCGCCCGGGTGGGGTGGGGTGGGAAACACCAAAACGTGTGGCTTGTCATCAAATAGTAAGAACCCCCCCCCAACTAAACAGGAGGGTCAGCTAAGATCCCAAAAGGAAAGGACAAGACAAATTAAAACCAAGCTGATAGGACATGGTTGTAATTTCAGTGGCGTACTTAAACCCCTACATCTGAAAGCAGTATTTGTGCAGAAATGTTGCTTTGAACATGTTGCCGGTTCCTAGGCCTCGAAAGGGTTTGCGAAAGGTATCAAGCAAAAGCGACGCGGAAGTGAAAAGAAGCCCCGACGCCTTTGCGAAAGGGACCTGATACTCCTCAAAGATCCCCGGGTTGGCAACGGCAAAAATGCAAAACCATATGTCTCTTCGACCGCTGGGTTTAGAACACTGCTCATTTGGCTTGGTCTCAAATAAATGGGCAGAATGGAAAGACGCAACATCTGTGGTGTCCTTTGGGTTTCCGTTTTAGCGCTGAAAAGGGGCGCCCCAAATTCGTGGCCCTTTTCTTAGGGGGCACTTTTGGAGGTTTGCCTGAAGCTGGGCAACCATGCATTTTGAGGGCGGCCGTCATGTCCCCTATGAATCTAGCCCGCTGGAAAATACTAAACTGAAATAGATAACTTCTGAAAACCCTTCAAACTAAACCAACACCCCGTGAACTCAACCAAAATCCTCCTAAACCAAACCCTCAAAGCCCAGCCCAACACCAGGAGTTCCTCTTAGTCCGCTTTCACCCCCTGAGCCTCGAGGACTCCAACTCGCTCGCTCCAGGTGTGACCTGTGGCGCCGGGAGCTGAACCTCCGCGAGGATCTGCGCCAAGTTTGCCCGGGCCCCCGGGCCCCGGCTCGCACGGAGAAAATGCTTCGGCGGAGCGGGGGGCGTTTGGGGCTCTCGCGGAGTGTTTCCACCGTGTTTTTCTCCAAGAGCTGTTTCCCCCACGTTGATGTTTAACCCCACGGTTTCGCCATGGTTGTTTTTTTTTTTCAGGGGGTCACCATGTATTTTTGTTGATAGTGTTCCATTTATTTTCTCCGCCACGGTTTTTCCATGGGTTTTCTCATGGTTTTCCATGGTCTCGCCTTTGTTGTCCCTCATGGTTTCCGCATGGGGCTTTTCTTTCATGGTTTACCCATGTTTTTTCTCCAGGGTTTCCCCATGGCTTTTCTCCCCCCGTGGTTTCCCCCTGATTTTGTTGGTCCCCGTGGTGTTACCATGGTTTTCCTCCATAGTTTCCCCACTACTTCCACCACCGCCACCACCACTCCTACTACTACCACCACCACCACCACTCCTACTACTATACCACTACCACCACCACCACGCCTCCTCCTCCTCCTCCTACTACTACTACTACTACTACTACTACTGCGACTACTACTACCACCACCACCACCACCACTACTACTACTACTACGCAAGCGCTGGATCCGGGCTCGTCAGACTAAGGGACCCTCAATTTCTCAAATTCAATTTCCGATTGATTCCCATGTTGTCTCATGTTTTTCCAACGGCCTCCCACGTTTGCAAATGTCGTTTTGTGCTTCATGTTTTCCCAATGTCTTTTTTTGGGCGTAGGCTTCCCGCAGTTTTCCAAGTGTTTTACCATGTGTCCCACGTGTTCTTCTATTTTCCAACGTTGTCCAATCTATCATGTGTATTCCCCAAACGTGCATCCACACTGAGGAGTTCTTACGGTAGGATAAAAGGCCCGGATGTTGTATGATGTCGAAGTGCGTTTCGACGGCGCACTCAAAATGAGGCCCGCAAGTCTGGCCGTGAGCATTGTGCGTGGTATCTGCCGCAAAACCGTGATGTTTTGTGATGTCAAAGTGCGTTTCAGCTGCGCAGGCTCGCACGAAATGAGGCCCGCGAGTCTGGCCGCGAGCATCTTGCGTGCAACATCGTGATGTTTTGTGATGTTGTGTGATGTCAAAGTGCGTTTCAACTGCGCAGGCTCGCACGAAATGAGGCCCGCGAAGTTGGCCGGGAGCATTTTGCATGGTATTCACCGCAAAGTCGTGATGTTGTATGATTTCGAAGTGCGGTTCGACTGCGCAGGCTCGCCGAAAATGAGGCCCGCGAGTGTGGCCGGGAGCATTTTGCATGGTTTTTACCGCAACATCGTGATGTTGTATGATGTCGAAGTGCGTTTCGACTGCGCAGGCTTGCAGAAAATGAGGCCCGCGAGTCTGGCCAGCATTGGGGCACCAGGCACGGATGGATGAGCTTGCCTCAAAAAAATGAAAGGAAACAGCGACTCAGAACTTCTGCTTTTTGCAAAGAGCCACAGCCGTATCCACCGAGGTAGTTCTCAGCTGGTTCTCGATGCCAAAGATACTGGACGGTGGCGAACCGCACCCAAGGTGTTTGTAGAATGCTAAGCTGGTGCGTTTGCTTTGTCGAAAGGTGGCGGTCCAGTTGCGATAAAGGTTGCGATATCCGCACGATGTCTTCCGCACATGCGCTAGTGTGGGCGCAGCCGGGGGCTGAAATCAACCTGAGGAGTGCTTGTGCATCCTGCGAGGGGCCAACAAGTCATTTTGAAACGCCCGGAGCCCTTCATCCATCCCTGAACGTGGCCTCGCGGAATGTTGCTGGCAAACCTGGTGGCCATGGCCGCTGCGGGCTTTCCTTAGCCAGGCGTTTACGACGACTTACAGACTTACATGACTGTTGCTCCCGCAGCCTCATGATGCAAAGCGCAAGCAAAGCTTCTTGAGCGCTTTCGATTTCACTCAGTGTTTGCACGGAAGTTCTCGCCACAGCGCAGGCCTAGGGCTTTTGACTTGTAGTTGCGGCATGGAGTCGCCTCAATTCTTCCCAGATTTCGGTGAGCCAGCACCGACGACATGACAGATGAGGATTCCAGCGCCCGTTTTGCCACGGCTGCGGGCGCGCGCATTGCTGGCCCAAATTCGAGCTCCCCACCATCGTGCAGATGGGGCATGCCCCCAACCATCACAGCTTCCTGATGCCCCTTGAGCCGAGCAAGCACGCATAAGATTCCGTTTCCGCAGGCATGTGCTTCTGGAAAATCACGCGTTAAGCGCTCCAGACGTGCTGCAGCGTTGGAACAACAACAAGTCTCAACGAAAACGCGTGGTTAGGGAATTATTAGCGTCACTGTAAGTTTCTGTACGTATGTCCCGCAGCAAGGTCTTCCACCAACCAGCTAGCCGAAGAGCATTTTTGCCCAACACTAAAATTACACGAACTTCATCATGCTCAGTGTTGAACAACAAAATGATCTTCAGAGCAATGGGCATGGCAAACAGGTGGAAAAAGCGCGGACGCGACCTTTTACACACCGCCGGCACACGGTATGTTAAGGCTGTCGAACGCCTTGTCCTCGCATCTTGGGCGTGTAGTTCAAACGACCTTGGACGGCTACGGCGGCGGAGCAGAGCACAGGAGCTGCATCTCCTGCAGCATTCTCGCCGGCATGTCTCGTAAATCTAGGGCTGTTGGCAGCGCGGCGCGTGGCTCAGTCGGCTTGTTGCGCGGCATGGCAACCTCCAACTTCATGTTTAACGCATGAAGATGCTGGAAACCACCCACTCCATGCCGTTGGGTACCCACAACCTCATACACAAGCGCCCGCAGGATGCCCATGTGTTTCCAGTCCGCGGGCCCCGGGTCAGCTTGATTGTTTACGTCCGTCACTGTTTGGGGTCTCTTGCCGGAATAATTTTAGCTATGCTTTCCCATGTTTCGCAAAGCTTTTCGCATTACCCGCATGTGCTTTCATGGTTTCTCATGTTTTTCCAATGTGTCTCATGATGTTCCTTTTTCCCAATGTTTTTCAATGCCTCCCAATGGCGGGACCACTCAAGTCGTCCATTGGACACCTCAACATCCAGTGTAAAATGCAAGGCGCTCAACTTGTTTTGCTGCCCCGCTACCCTCTTGCCCCGCTTTCGGGTCACTTGTCTTGCAGGTTCTTTAGGAGAGCATGACACAAACATGACACGCGGCGCTTCTGGAAAATTTGCCTCCCACGTCCCCCATGCGTTTTCCCATGGTTTTTCCATTGTTTCGCAATGTTTTCTGCTGGGTGCCCCATGTGTTTTACAGTGGTTTTCCCATTGTTTTCATGTCTTCCAGGGGTTTGCTATGCCTTCCAAATGTGCTTGTCACGTTGTCCGCTGTATCACAAGGTCTCTTTTCCACAACCATGCCGTATTGGGGCGTCTTGGTTGGTTCAAAAAGGAACTCAACTATACATGCTGAGGATTATCATTCACGCACAAACCTCGTGGTTGCCCATCTTGATTGAACTCCCTTTGGGAGGGGCGATGTTTGATCGGGGCAAACAAGAACCCAGACAAAGATGGACTCATCACTTTGGAGTTTTTTGCTGGGACCCTTGCCCCGGTTTACGCGAGGTCATCCAGTGCTGCACTGCAGCCCCTGAAAAGGGTTCAACGATTTTCGGCATTGGGATAGCATGTGGAGAGGGCTCGCCCTGTTTTCCACAACCCACGCCCGTTGAGGGCACCGTGGTCGGTGCACGAAGCGACTGCTTTGGCAAATGTTGGAACTATTTGATGTTTCTGAGGAAAACGCATACTGATGGACACAAAAGCAGATGTACGATAAGACTCCTTGTGATATGTTGGTTGCTGAGTGCCGTAGTTGAACTCTGTGTTAACAGCTCAGGTGGCAGTTTGCACAGTGTAGTTGGTCAGGTTGTTCTTTCAAGCTTGGAACAATGTCATGGTTCGTGGAATCGTGCCGTGTGCCTTTCCAAGAGGATTCAGCGTCCACTTTGACATGCGTTTGACTGGTTGGTCAGAATCGCGAGCGCGACTTCAAGAGCGCATGATGTTCCGCGACGATTGAGATGAGTCGATGAGGGCCCCTTCCCTACTTGCAAGCACCAAAGCTATTCCAGGTGCAGGGGCTGCCCGTTCCCGGCAAGACTTCGCATGGGGTTTATTAAAAAAAACATTAGCCATCGAGCAAAGAATTGGCATCGAGCAAAGTGAGAGCGGCCCGTTTTGAGGCGTCAAGATGGACAGCAGGCTGAAGGCGGTGGACGAGGCAGTCGAGCTTCTTTTCAAGGACCTTCAGGCAAGCGAGCGGGTCAGGGGGTTGACGAGCCGGATAGCAGTCGATTGATATTAGAAGGGTTCCAGCAGCCAGCTAGAAAGGTGTGCAGCTACGCATGAAGCTTCTTTCGGCATGTGATCTCGGTGTTGCGAGACACTTGCAGGCAGATCTTCAGTTGCCAGTCATTAAACTCTATGGGTAAGATGTCACCATTGGCTCGAAGTCAAAAGCACCCACATGACACCAAGCTTTGCTCCAGCCACACATACAGGTTGAGCAAAGGCTAGGGCCTAGGCCTCGGCTTTCTTGGCAGCTTGCTCAAGAGTGGCTCAGGCGATTGCATTTCTTGGTGTTTCATGGCCAAAAAGGGACAGGTGTCAGAGAAGTTGCTGATCTCATCCTCAAAGATCGCTTCCCATGGCTTCAGCGCAGGCCTTGGACTCTGCCTTGAAGTGAGTCGGGGAGGGAAGCGGATCGGCCATGGCCGTTGGATGTAAGACGCAAGTGTCCAAAAGGCTTGTATGGGGGTTGATCAATATTCCAGGCAAAAAACGCATGGGCAACTTGTTCCCATTAGCTTTCAGTGGTTTCCCCCAAATATCGTGTATAGGACCTTCTGATCAACCCCCATATGTGGATATCAGCAGGTCGTCTCGAACCCATGGTCGCAGCGGCGCCGAGCATCAGGCCTCCACTTAAGAGATTCAACCCTTTGTTGACAGGTCCTTTGCCATGTTTGGAAGTGCAAGATATTTGAACGAAGACAAGCGCCCATTGCGGCTGCGTCATTACACACCTTGCCTGAACTTGGGGCAGCTCTAGGTTTATTCTCTTGGCAGTTGCCGCCATCTCTTCCCCAAAGGGGAAGCTCCAGCAAGAGGCCTGTGAGCCTCAGGGGCAGCCAAGCACAGGCCGGGTCGCGGTCGTGCCTTTATGGAGTCACTATTTGAGGTTCGGAGCTTGGAACGTTGCAGCACTTTGCATGTTGCACGGCTTTCTGGGCCGGCAACAAGACCGCCGCAAGACCGGACCGAGAGCTTTGAAAGGCTGTTTTAAAAAGAACATTGGTGCCACACGGAGGTCGCATCAGTCGTGCTCCCTATTCAAAGTTGGGGGGGTTGAAACCGCGCAGCATAAAGATGCGTTTTTGGATCAAAGCCAACCGTTTTTGGGACTTCGTGGAGCATTTCTCTTCCCGGGCAACGCGCAATGCGTTGCCTGTGCCGTGTTCTCCGAGGCGGCGCAGGGGCAAAAAGGCGCATCGAACCAGAAGCAAAGAGAGGCTTGAAGCAGGCAGAGTTAGCCCCCAAACGGACGACTCACACACGAGTACTCTTGATCTGCAAGGATCATTGGTTTCACCTTGTGCCGTGGAAGCCGGGAGAGTGGAACGTGGTGGAAAGCACAACTCAAGGTGAGAGGGTTCTCGATATCTGCCTTGACTCAATATATGCCTTGGTGGCTTTGCTTGCTCATCTTTCCTGTCTCTGGTTTGTTACATCACTCAAGCAGGGATCAGCTGCATGACAATCTGATAGGATGAAGACGCTTGTCATGTACTTCCAAGAGATGCCGCAATCAAGGTTCTGCACAGTGTGTGTGTGTGTATGTGTGTGTAAGGTCTTCTCACCTGGAAAACCTCCAAATACCTTCAATCTAGTGATTGGGATGCTTCAGGCCTGCCAAACGAAGTCAGGCCAACCTTGGCTTGAAGACGTTGAGGGATGAGTCCTTGCCCTAGAGGGAGTGAGAGGGAGAGAGTGGTCAGGATTTCGAGTGACCAATTTGCTACTGAAAAATCCGCTCCGGCTCGACCTAACAATCCAGCGAAGCCAAGCGGAAGCTACGGTTGGCTGTTGTTTAAGATTGAACACGCCATGCGTTCATGTCTTGGATGGACATGCCATTCCGCGGCAGCGCAGTTGCAGTTTGGCGAGTTGGCCAAGCCATTGTTGAGGTGTCGATCTAGTGCGCAGAATGGGTGCAGAGCTTTGCATGTCCTAGTTTACAAGGGCGGCACTGGAACGGAGTTTATGGCTCGCGTGAAAGGATTGAAAGAGAAGCCCCGGACTGTCCATGATTCTCTCTCATAATGGGCCCCACCAGAGTGCAAATTGACCATCCCCCATGTCCGTGGTTTGACAATGATCCGTAGATGTCCATGTTGGCAAGGATCAAAGACCCGAATATTCTGGCCATTTCGATGCTGGTGCCACGTTCGGTGGAAATCATGAGCCCTGGTTGACCATGTGCTGAATGCGGCCATGTGGCGATGGCTTTTGCCGCTGGCGGCAGGCCCGACATGCGACACGCAAACCAAGCTGTGGTGGGTAGTGGCCGCCATTTGTCAGTCATCTCTTCTTGTGTTGCGCTTGTACTGGTATTGTGTGTGTGTGTGAGAGCTTGATGCTTGTAGTTGTTTCTGCTGCTTGCCTTTGTATTGGTCGGGTATTGCCCTGTTATTGCAGGAAAGACTCGCAATCATCGAAAGCAACTTCACTTCTGGCATTGCTGTACCAAAGCTGTTCTTTACAGTCGGGCCTCAAAGTTAATTTTCGGGCCTCAAAGTGCGTTGATTTGACGTTCAGAAGTGGGTGCCATAGAGAAGTGCTGGCGTTGACAATGTTGCACGCACGTGTTGGAGGGGGCTGCAGTAGTTCCTGCGAGCTAAGTCCTCTTTTTACACGCAGACACCCAATCCAGATGCTCGCGACCCTCGGGCGCACTGATTCTTTGGATGGGGTGGTTCGCAGCTCAGTTTCTTATGCTTCCATTTGGTTAAGAATATGGTTTATGTCCCCCTGATGTTTTTTTTCAGGGAATCTTGTTGGTTTTAAAGAGAATCTATCACTACAGGAACTATAGTGAGGTGGTCTTCCACATTGTTTACGCTATCCACTCAAGAGTATCTAACGCTATCCACCCGGCCCCCTAAACTTTGGGTTTAATTTTCCAGGGGTAAGCAAATGGAAGTATGTGATCCGCAATGGTGGTGCTCGCTGGCTCAAGCATCCGAGACCGAACTCAACTCATGACATGCTGCTGCAGACGGATTTGTCTGAAGCCTGGCAAAAGCCAAGCAAGGCAGGTATACGAGTTCAGAAATGATGTCAGTATTTTGTACTGAAAACTGATTCTCTAAGCAAAGTTCAGAGTTTGACACAAGCACATGCATTTTGCAGGACAGGCCGAAGCTTGAAACCTGGTCAAAGCAATTCGCCGACATGGATCGTGCAGCTCGGCTCGTGCTGCTGGCTGCCCATGCACTTGCTCTCAAGGCATGGAGGGCGGAGTCGGTTAGAAGACTTGGAATTGGCGGAACATCCCAAGTGAAAGTCCATACTGACATATTTTTGTTTGGTATCTTCATTGCAGTCCATACTGAAAATTGGGAACAAGGCTTGCCCCTACAAGTCACAAGATGACTGGATGCAATATGTGAGACAAGTCACGCCCGGAACGATCTTCAGTGTCTCACATAAGGACAGCAGCGGTAGGATTAGAACCAGGCAAATCGCAGTCCTTGTTTAGGTTCTCTGGAGCTCCCCTCCCGGACGCGCAAAAACTGTCCGTTCCATTGGCAGAATATTACTCATACGCGGAGTCTTGTGGCCATCAAGCGCTTGTCGGCTTGCTTTGTGACCACTTCAACCGAGGCTTGAATCAAGCCACGTTCCAGGTCCTGGTCTGCCCCGGATTGGTGGTGTTTGTTGGTAAACCTAAGCCTTACCTGTTGAGTTGCCAAAAGTTACCGGCAAATGTTTGCCTTGCTTTGGGCAGCCATCTCAGCGCACCAGTCCAAGAATGTGTCCCCCCGAGATTGCCCAACACAGTTTGAATTGCACTAATCGTAGCCCCCGCTTCCAATACGATAGTGTACATGGGCATGTGTCAAGACTATAGATTCCTCCAAGTGGTTGCGAAATCGTGGTGGTCAAGCCCGTCCTCAAAAGAAAGTGCCCAGTTTTGGCATGCCCAAATACTGTGGATGGACGAAATCCTGCACCACCTAAGAAATCCTGGAATGATGATTCCCCTGTGAATACCAACAAGCAATGGTTTTTCATGGTTTCTTAGGTGGTGCGAAATAGTCACAGCTGGGACCATGAGGAGCAGAGCAGCGTGGGCCGGCATGCGGCGCCCGGACCCCAGAACTCGCGAACTCGCCCCCGGCTGGGAGCCTCATGGATGTTCATTTCTTTGCGCCCAAGCAACACAAATCATACTGTGGATGGACGAAGTCCATTTCACACCACTTTGAAACCATGAAAAACCATTGTTTGTTAGTATTTACTGGTGAATCATCACTCCAGGGTGTCTTAGGTGGTGCAGGATTTCGTCCATCCACGGTAGGCCGGGGCGTTTGCGCAGAAGAACTTCCCCAGATGGCGAGGGGTCAGAATTCCTGACTTTGTGTTGGAGGCGGTGCTTGGAAGCGAGCAATCACTGCAGTTGATCCGTCGTTGAGCGCTTGGCATCACTCTGGGCGAAACCTGCAGCTGCTAGAAAGTCAGTGGCGGTTGTACGTCCGGATCAAGTTGGACAAGACGAGGATTTGGGATTTGTCATCATGGAAGGGTCTTCCGGCTTTCCCAAAGAGCCATCATGTTGTTTTTTCCAAGCATTTTTGCTTGCGAAAGAATTATTGCGGTCACTCAAAGGCTCGGGTTATTGTAAACGCTTCGCGTTGCCCGCCTCGGCCCAGCCTAGTTTGAGGGAAGGGTCAGGAACACCGAAATCCAGTGTTGGGAAGGTCCGAATACCTGAAGCTGGCTCCAGACAAGTCAGACAAGCCGGCCTCGCCTGGTTGGGCTGGGCCACAGGCTAGTCTCAGACACATCAGAGAAGCCTGCGCTGGGCCTGAAGCTAGTCTCGGGCAGCTTGGCTGGACCTTGCTCGCGTGGGTTGTTGGTTGAGCTGAAGCTAGTTTACGGCGGGCTGGGCAGCCGCACTGAGGGGGCTGGGCTATGGCTGGGCTGGGCCTGAGGCCAGTTTCAGACACGTCAGACAGGCCTGGCCAGCAGGCGGACTGGGCTGGGCTAGACGCTAGTTGAGCCCAGGCTGGTGAGGCCCAGTCTCGGCGCTAGATAGGCTGAGGCCTGCGAGTCTCAAAACTGGGTGGGCTTGGGTGGGGTTGGCTTGGGCGGGTTGCTGGTTGGGCTGGGCCTGAAGCGAGTCTCAGCCACGAGGCTGCGAAGCCATGGGTGGTGCTGGGCAGCTGGATTATGGTGTTGGTTGCGCCTGGAGCTTCGGCTGGCTGGGCTGAGCTGTGCTTGGGCGGGTCGCTGGATGGGCTGAGGCTGGGTAGCGAGTTGCTGGCTAGGCTGGGCCTGAGGCCAGTCGCAGCACGTAAGACACGCCAGGAGGCGGGCTGAGGGACTGGGCCTGAGGCTAGTCTCAGGCTGGCATACCTTGAGACCAGTCTCAGACTGCGCCGGCCTGGTCAGCCTGGGCTGCTGAGTAGCTGGCATAGCTTGAGACCAGTCTCAGACACGTGAGACTGGTCGTTGGCCTGAGGCCAGTCTCAGACACGTTAGACAAACCTGACCTTGGCACACTGGGCTGAGCCTGCTGGTGGGCTGGGAGCTGGGGGCCGGTAGTGGCTGGCATGCCCTGACATGCGCTGGGGCCTGGGCTGGGCAGGCTTTGGGCTGGGCCTGAAGCTAGTCTCAGCCACGAGGCTGCGAAGCCATGGGTGGGTTGCTGGCTGCCGGGCAGCCGGACCAGGCTGCTGGTTGTGCCTGGAACTTGGGCTGGGCGGGCTGGGCTGAGCTGTGCTTGGGCGTTGCTGGATGCGCAAGGCCTGTTTCATACACACTTGGGCCTGAGGCTGGGTGGCGAGTTGGCTGGGCTGGGCCTGAGGCCAGTCTCAGGCTGGCGTACTTTGAGACGGGGCTGATGACTTGGGGCCAGACGCGAGGAGGTCAAGGCCTGGCCAGGCTGGGCTGAGTTGCTTGGGCAGCCGGACTGAGGGGCTGGGGCACGTCAGACGGGCTTGGTGGCTGGCATAGCTTGAGACCAGTTTCAGACACGTGAGACTGGGTCGTTGGCGTTAGACAAACCTGACCTTGGGGCCGGCCTAGGGCCTGGGCTGGGCGCTGGGCTGGGCTTGCTGGATGACTTGGGGTAGGGCCTGAGGCTGGGTGGGGCACCCACACAGGCCTGGCCAGCAGGCGGGTTGCTGGTTGGGCTGGGCCTGAGCCTAGTCTCAGACACGTCAGGCAGGCCTGGCCACCAGGAGGTCATGCTTTTCAGGACAAAAAAGCAATTTTTAGCGATTTTCGCAAAAAAATGGACCCATGGAGCTGGACGCGACGCCGACGAACCCCGAAAATTTCAAGGCCCGCCGGACAGGATTTTGGGTCCAGCCGACATGGGTGGGGGGGGGGGGGAAAATACATAAAACAGCACTTCAAAGAACAAAACCAAAAAATCAAACAGCATACAACAAAATCAGCAAAATTCACAGAAAACAAGATAAGAACCACCAAGCAACTCAAAAACCAGAACAACCCCCAACAAAATATTTAATCAAAGCATACAACATTAAATAATTCAAACAAGCATACCAACAAAACAGCAAAAATAAAAACCATCAAAGAACACAAACTCAAAAACACACATCAACAAAAACAAAGCAACATACCAACAAAAAATATCAGAAGAGTATCAAACAAAATAAAATACAAACAGCCAAAGCACGAAAAAATCAAAAGAGCATACCAAGTTCAAACAACGCACTTTGAAAGAGTCAGCCAAATCAAGAAAAATTAAAATATTTCAATCTTTACAAACCATAAGTTCAATATAATTATAACATATAAAATTTTACATGTTATTATTATAGTATGATTATAGATAATATGAATAAACCTATTTTCAGTGTTTCCAGTCTCCTATGTTGTTCCAAGAACTGCTTAAGATGGTTCTGATATTATACCAGATTAAGTTAACATCATAATCTTTCATTGGTGCTCTTTGTTGTATTAAATAACGCAACACTGATATCAAAGTATAATAATTACAATGCATTGTTGTCATTCCTCCTCTTTCATTAATACTATTACCATTATGTTTAACGAGTTCTTCTTTCATTATGTTTTCGTAAATCTCTTTTATCCATTGATGATTTTGTTCTCCATACTCGGCGAACATATCTAGATATATATCTTCCATTGTTTTATCGTTTTTAATGATTTCAATGACTTGTTTATACGATGGATAGGGATTATCCTTAATGAAACTCAATATTATCTTTCTATCCTGTTCCAGCTCTTTTTCTGTCACTCCTATCA